AAGTAACTGCATCTCTGAATAAGTGGGAATTTACCAGTCTGGTTTTTCTATTAAAAGGATTTGTTTACTTTTTTTTTTTTTTCAGTGATGGAGAAAACAGAGTTGTTTTTCTGATGGACTGAAAATAAAGTTTTTAATTTTTGCATATTGTCTGAGAATAAAGGGTCCAGAAATAACCCCACAGAGATGATCATTTTGTTTCCAGGTACAACAGCAAAGTGTTCGGAATAATGTGTTCCCATTCTGGTTGAATCCCATTAACAGACTTTCAGGATTCATAGCAGCATAATTCACAGGAGCCCCAACGTGGGCAAAAATGAAATGTCCATCACCTCATAAACAGAGCCGCAAAGTATGATCTACCCGTACAATGGAATATTATTTTACTTTTTTTTTAAGCAGCTAAACACTGGTACATGTTACAACATATGGATAAACCACAAACACATTATGCTCGGTGAAAGGGCCAGGTACGAAAGGACACATACTGTATGAAACCATTTATATGAAAAGTCAAAAAGAGGCAAATGTCTGGAGACAGTCAGTAGACTAGTAGTTATCCAGGGCTAGAGGTGAGGATCGGTGTTGGGGGTGGCAGAAACAGTGACGTGTTCCGCTGCTATCCTAAAGCTTAGTGGTTTAAACCCAGTCAGAGGGGCCTGGCTCGCTGCTTCTGAAAGACCAGACCCGGGAAAACCCCGGGGAGCAGTGCTGCTCGATGCGCGGGGTGTCTGCAGGTAGATAGGGGATGGCTACAGGAGGGGAGGGGAGCAGGGTTACTGCAGGGTGACGGGACCGTCTTAAAATTCGATTGCGGTGATGGCTGCACAGCTCTGCCCATACACTAGCACTCACCACACTGTGTGTCACAGGGGTGACTTTTATGATATCTATTCCATTCCACCCCCACCCCCCAGGAAAGAAACATTCACAGTGTAAAATCAAAGCCTGAAGCTCTCATCGGAGTAGGTGATGTAACAGGCAGTCAAAGGGCAACACCACGAGTACACAATGGTCTAACACCAAATGGGTCAGAAAACCCACTGTGATGTAACCTTGAAGAAAGGTTAGGTTTTCTGGCCCTGTGCAGCCGCACTTACAGGCCTTCAAAGGCCTCTTGTGGAACAACTGAAGACATAGACAAAGTCATTATTAAAAAGGCAAATCGGCATCTCTTGGCCCACAATTACCTTGCTCAAGTGATTTGGATAGCCCACATATCTTTTTCTTTTTTCTTTTTTTAATGAAAATTCATGATCAAAGCCTACATTTCAGAAAGGTCTTCTAGTCCTGCCCATTGAAGTCTGGATATTCACGATATAGCAAGTGGCTGCATCTGCTGCATGTCAGCCGTCCTCACTGATGCACTGACGGCGTACACAGTGGGTTAGTGTGCCTCCTAGCAAGACTGGATGACAAACTGACTGCAGGTATCTAGTGTCTAGGAAGAACATATCCATCTGAGGAAAAGAGGCAAAGGTTTGTTCTACCTATCCAATTTTCCAAGGTCTCGAGGTGGTACAAACGTCTTTACCTCCACTGCTAACCTAAAGATTATTGGTTCAAAACCCACGGCCCCCCACCGCCCAGGAGTACCATGGACACAAAGGCCCCTCAGAGGGCTGCTTGGTGCCATTGAACTTGTTCCAAGTCCGAGCAACCCCGCCTACAACAGAAGGAAACACGACGGGGCCCTCCACCATCCTCACCACCATGGCGACATGTGAGCCCACTGTGGTAGAAACCATGTCACCCCATCTCCTTGAAAGAGCCTTCTTCTATACTTCTTCCCAGACTGATTTGTTCACTTTGCTGGCACTCCGGGGTGTGTCAATATTCTGCACTAACACCCAAATTCAAGGCAGTCAATTCCCTAGCCTTCCTGGTTCACTGGACAGCTTTCAAGTGCATATAAAGCACTTGAAAACACTAGGGCTTGGCATATGCGCACTCAGTATCTTGGCTCTTCAGGACTTTACTGAGATCCTGGGCAGCAGGTACCCCACTGCAACATGTTGTTTGAGTTCTTGACTGCAGCTTCTGTGAGTGTGGATGGTATATTCAAGTAAATGAAATCCTTGACAACTTCAATCTTTTCTCCGTTTATCAGTGTTGCTTCCTGGAACAGTTGTGTGAGATTTTTTTTTTCTTTATGTTTACGTGTAATCTGTACGATAAGCTGAAGACTTGGGTCTTCATCGGCAAGCGCTTCAAATCCTCTTCACTTTCAGCAAGCCAGGTCTGTCATCTGCAGATGGCAGGTTGTGAGGGAGTTTTCCTCAGTGTTGACACCTCGTTCTCCTTCAGACACGCTCTTCAGATTAGTCACGATAAACCCATGACGCAGCTCTCCTCGGCAACACACGGCCTCCTCCTGAGTGGAAACTGACCTGATGTCACCTAACAACAAAGCTCCTAAAGTCGGTGAGGCAGTTAGTTATTGTGCCAACCTGGCCGATAAACACAGGTGGGGTTAATTGAAGGGCGGAGAGATAAATGGCTCGGTGAGCCTCGCCTTTCGAGTTCTTGGGTCTCTTGCTTTCTGACGGTCAGACCAGGGTGCTGATGCCTTGGCCAGTTCCCTGCTTCAGCTGGCCAGGCTGACTTCCTGCAAGACAACCCCGAGGAGAAGCCACATGGACCTACCCGATGCAGCCCTGCGTGCTGGAGCAGCTGTGTGGAGACCCCTGCCAGCGCTGAGATGTTTACACGTTCACTGATTCGGCTTTCCTCCTGCAGTCAGCATCATTGCGTCTATTTTGTGAGATGGAGGAGGACTTTGTGGATTGGTGTTGGACATATGGGTAATGTTGGACTTGTGGGTTTGAGCAGCACTGGATTGGGATGTCTTCTTGATGTGCACTTAACCCTTATATAAAGCTCTCTTTTATACATGAGTTTTTCTGGATTTGTTTCTCTAAAGTACCCAGACTGACACAGTCGGTATGAATTAAGAGCTGACTGTCCAGTCTTGAACAACAACAACAAACAGACCATGGGTCATGAATAATTCATCTTTTCTAACTGAAGAATCTGAGGTCCAGAAAGGTTCAGAAACTTTACTAAAGCCACTCAGCTAGAGCAGTACTGACAGACCTCACAGTCAGGCATGTGGCTCCTGAGGCCACTCGTAGGAACATGGTTGGGGAGCTCTTGGAGGTTTTACGTGACTCATGGCCCTCCAGCAGACAACACTGAGCAGCCAGGGCTCCAACCGAGGAAACCAGGGTTCCCAGCCTGAGAGGCGGCAACAGCTCCAATCAATACCCTCATTGCTCACTGGAGTGGTAAGCAATGTTTCAGTGGACAAGGCGTTTACAAAGCCCAAATACACCTGAAATGTAGTTAAATTGTAAAAGAGGGTTAAAACGTCAGAATAAGTGATGCTTGCCCGCTACAAACCTTAAAATCAAAAGTACTCCGAGGGCAGGAAACGGTTTTCAGCTCTTGTTTGCTTCCTGAATTCTAGTCTCTAAAAGGCATCATCATCTAGACTGTATTCCTGTAGTAAAAGTGACAACGGGAGAAAGACCAAAAGCTGTGGACTACTGTGTTCTTTATAAAGATACATGAATGTACAATGTGTGTATGCACTATGTATTGTAATACATAACACTACAGACATCTTTTTACATAGTAATGCCATTGCCATCTAACTGATTCTGCCTCATAGCAGCAGGCCTGAGAAAGCAGACTGCCATATTTTCTCCCACAGAGCAGCCAAAGGGTCCTAACTGCCGGCCCTTTTAGCTCACAGCTCAGCACTGAACTCACTGTGCCACTTTGACTCTTTCACATAATACTACATAATATACAATAATATAAAATGTGCAGGTATTTATATGCTACGTGTACCACATAATAATGTATGTCCATAAGGTTTCCATTGGCTAATTTTCAGAACCCGGGACGTTCTCCTAGCCTGTCTAAGTCTGGAAGCGCCACTCTAACCTGGCCACCCTAAGTAACCCTACTAGTATTCGAGATACCAGTGACAAAGCTTCCAGCATCACAGCGATACCCACACACCCCCACAAGAGGACAAACAGACAGATGGGGAGACACTGAAGTTGTTAAGGATTTCCTTCCCCTTGGATCAACCATCGATGTCCTTGGAAGCAGCACTGGCAAACCTGCTGCAAAAGACCTCTCTTTAAAGTGTTGAAGCAATATCACTTTGATGAGTGAAGTGCGATTGCAGAAGGAGGAACCCTGAAATGCACTACGGACTGCCGAGGGAACGAAGACGTCTGCTCAGAAGACGCAGAGCCAGAAAGCTCTTCAGAGTCCAGGCTGAGGAGACCTGGTCTCCAGCCCTCCAGGAGGACTTCGTGCTTGGTAGAGCGGATGGTGAGCCAAAAAGAGAAAGAACCTCGACGAGATGGGCTGGCCCAGTGACTGTTACAAGGGGTCCAAAAACAATAATGCGTGTGAGGACGACATAGGACCGGGCAGTGCTTTACCTGTTTCACATAAGGTCTCCATGAGTTAGAGGCAACTCAGTCAGGGGAAAGAACCATCACAATGGGAGACCGCGGAAATCCTTCTCCCCGTGAGTTCAGGTGTTATCTGGCCAACTCCCAGTGGACAGCTGAGTCGTTAATCACGATCCTTCCCTCGTTCTCCCAGAAATGTGTCCCTCCTCCCTCTACGAGCCCTAATTGCAGAGTCACCACGTCACATGAGCGGTCTACTACAGATTGCCACTAATTCCAACCACGCTGAAATGGCACCAGGATCGAGTAGCAGCCTCGCGAGGTCGGCCCCCACCCCTTCCCCAGTGTTTGTGGTGGTCCTGTCTTCTGGCGTCTCTGTTTTATCAACCTGTCTTTTGTGAAGCATCTGTTGCGGCCATTCATTCTCTTTCTGTTGACCACAAGCTGACTGGAAAACTATGTAGAACACTGACCGCTCATTCGTGAAGCTAGCTTATTAATGTGTGTACACCTTTATGAAAAAAAGAAAAGAGAGAGGCAGAGCCTCGGGCTTCTTGGTCTTACCTGTCCAAAGCAATGGCAGGGAAGCTGAGGATAGTCACAGAACAGAAGACTTTGTGCAGAAACTTGACAACCTTGCAGAAGACCAGAGTGTAGACCCACCAGCAACAGTGCGGGCTGCTGCTGAGGATGATGTCAAAGGGCACGCACGCCAGGTTGGCACAAATGCCCGAGCAGGCCAGGTTTTTAATGAACCTGTTGGTGACAGATTTGAACACGGTTGTGCGGCAAGTTGACCATAACACCATGAAGTTTCCTGGCCAGAGATAAAGAAAGATAAGAGTATTTTTAATAAAATGAAAGGAGACAAGAGGGAAAGAAAGAAAAAAACTGCTGTCTTAAAAAAAAATCTCTAAAAACTACCTCAGAGAGTCGATTTCTAAGGATCTTATTTAAATGCTTACAAATAACTATATATCATCAATTTATATGAAAGTATTTCATCACTTATGTATACATGAAAGAATCTAGAGGACTTAGTGGGGAACCTTCTCATTGCATTTTATACATAACACTATAATCTTAGACAATTCAATTGGCTGTTTTGGGGCATTGTCAAGTTGATTTTTTCCTGGTAGCAACCCAATGCGACAGAGCAGATGGGCTATGAGTCAGAATTACACCACAACGCTGGGCTTAGTTTCAGTTTTTGGAAAGAATCTTTTTTTTAAATTAATTTGTCTATTTTTAACAATTTCACTGGCATACAATTTACATATCATACACTTCAGTAGTTCAATCACATTCTTAACAGTTGTGCGACCATGAAAACAATAATAATTTATAGTTTATCAAGGGTTCACAGGGGCGGGAGGAGGGGGGAGGGAAAAAAGAGGAGCTGATACCAAGGGTTCAAGCAGAAAGAAAATGTTTTGAAAATGAAGATGGATGATGAGGGCAATGAATGTACAAATGTGCTTTACACAATTGATGTGTGTATGGATTGCGATAAAAGTTGTATGAGCCCCTAATAAAATGATTAAGAAAAAATACAAATACATAGCTTTGAAAAAAGAAAAGAAAATGAAGATGGCAACATATGTACAAATGTGCTTGACACAATTAATGTATGGATTGTCCTAAGAGCTGAAAAAGCCCCCAATAAAATAATTTCTTTTTTTTTTTTTTTTAAAGAGTTGGACAACCATCACCACAACCAATTCCAGGACCTTGCTTCTTCCTGTACTCACTGTTTGTTGTTAACTCCATTTCCCACCCCTGTCACGCCCCTTTGAATCTACTGATTCAAGTGTTGTATTGACAGGCTTACCTAATCTGGGTTTCATATACAAGAAATCAAGACAGAATACAAACAAATGGCCCAACACAATGACAAAATGAACCGAAGAAAAACCTCAATCAAAAACAAAGCCAGAAAATATTAAAAACTGGAGCAGTTAAACCTTGGGACAAAAAACTGACAAGGTGTGGTATTTTGGCCCAACTGTAATTGCAGTAATCGACCCGGCAAGGTATTCTGTCTGGTAGCAAGGCCTTCCCCTCTCTGTGTCATAGGCAGCGGGGATTCACCAGAGCCTTAATCGACATGGGGGACCCTGCAAACGGGTGTTATCTGCAGCCTTCTGCAAACTGGGTGTTCACAATGTGAGCTCTAACACCACGATTGGGCGGAATCTGCAGGAACAAATCACCAGGTCTTTCTCCTCCAGAGACACTGAGTGGGTTCAGACTCCTAGCCTTTCAGCTTAGCAGCCTACTGTTTGATGATGGGTCTCCCACACTCCTTAAATAATTGACTAGCTATTAGTTCACACAGCGTTCACTCTTATCAAAGTTGCTAACGACATCCACGGTGGCAAACAAGGCAATAGAAATACAATGCAAGTCATGGACGTTTATCTAAGTTTTTCCAGTAACCCTATTTTTACAAAGTAAAACAAAACAGATAAAATTTTGATAACATATTCTATGTACGTAATCCGATATATGCTAGTAGGATCATACCAACATGTAACACTTAATAAAAAGATATTCAGGAGCTATTTTACATTCACTCTTGCACTAGCTCTTCAAAGTCTTGTGTGCATTTGATTTTATGATTAGAAGCCATCTCAGTTTGGAGGAGTCCTGTTTCACGTGCTCAAAAGTCACATGCAGTTAGAGGCTATTGCACTGGACAGTGCTGGTCTAGCAACGATGACACACTGACTGCTTCGATTTGACCATGCGGCTTTAGTGGCTTCCATGAGCGTGCTCTTCCTCTTACGCCCTCCCACTCCTCCCACCCCTCCTCTGAGTCCTTTACTAGGCCCATCTGTATTTTCTCTCCACAAATTTTCCCTGCCTTAGATTACTCACTCCCAAGGCATTCCACCAATATGGTACTAGCTCTCATATCCCTGTCCCAAATAGGCTTCTCGTCTCAACTGCAGATTCCTATGCTGAAGTCCATTTTTCATTTCCCACGCACTCTAAATCTAAGTCCATTACGGCTTACTATAGCTCACAAGGGACCCCATGATCTAACCCTCACCTGATGAAACACACACCTCTCTTCCCCTGGCTTCCTGGCACTAGCCACTCTGGCCTTCTTTCTGGGCTCCAAGTACGTCAAGATGACTCTTGCCTCAAGACAAGATTTGTATCCTGGCGAGCATATCTTTCCCTCCACTCACGTGCCAGGCTGTTGTACTTGCGAGCTTGCCTGTTGCTGCGATGCTGGAAGCTATGACGCTGGTATTTCAAATACCAGGAGGGTCACCCAGCGTGGACAGGTTTCAGCAGCGCTTCCTGACCAAGACAGACTAGGAAGAAGAAGGCTAACTACGCCTGAAAATTTAGCCACTGAAAACTATTAACAGCAGCAAGCTGTTTGATTTAGTTTCATGTAGTGCCAAAAGATGAACCCCTTAGATGGAAAGGCACTCAAAAAAGCGCCGAAAGAAGTGCTGCCTTATCGAAGTCGAGTAGGCTTTAATCGTACTGTAAATCATAGGTTTCCAACCATCTTTGGCCTACAGCTCCCTTTTCAGAAAGAACAAAACAAACAATCATTCAGTGCCACCCCCTCTACCCCCGTATTTAAAAATGTCTGTACTAACGCTCATAGCCCAGGACAAAGTATAGGTATCTGCTTGTACAGCTCCCAATCCCCGGGGTCACCCCGTATTGCCCACACTAGGAAACTCTGATGTAGATGAAGCAAAGCTTTCAGGACCTTCATTTGTTGACATAGCATAATGCAAAATGAGAAGAAACCACTATAAACACCCATTAATCATCACCATGTGGAGTACAAGAAGAATAAATCTAGAAAAATTGAAAGTCGTCAAAATTCAAATGGGACACATCATGATCAAGCTCCTAGGCTTTAGTCAGCTGAATAGCCTTGCATTGGCCCCTCTGGATCGAACAATCATGTGGTTTACGATGACGGCAAAAGCAAATCGAAGAGGAAGGAGATCAAATTTGGCATCAAACAAAACATCTCAAGATCTATCTTGAAGTACAATGGTGTCAGTGACAGGATAATAGCCATATAGCTACAAGCAAAACTAGGTATATGACTATTTTTCACACACCAATGATGAAGACACTGAAGAATTCTATCAACAGATGGCTGGGAAATATGACCTTGGTGATAGCAATGACACTGAAGAGCACTTGATCAAATTTTGCAAGAGCAGCAACTTATTCGTGGCAAATACTAATTTTCAACAACATACATGGCAAACTATGCACAGACCCAGTAAAATGGAATCCGCAGCCATCGGATTGACCACCTCTACTGGGAGGGCGACAGGAAAGCAGACTCATCAGCAAAGACAAGGCCACGGGCTGACGAGATCTTTTTGTACGAGATCTTCAGTGTATGGTATGATGGAACTGATCACACATACACCAGTTCAGGTTGATGCTGAAGAAAGCGAAAACCAGTTCACCAGAGCCAAAATATAACCTTGAGTGTATCCCCCCTGAATTTAGAGGCCATCCTGAGAGTAGATTTGAGCACTGAACCCTGATGACCAAAGACAGAGGGATTGAGGGATGGCCTCAAGGATGTTATACATGAACAAACAAAAAGGTCGTTTACAAGACAGAAAAGAAATGACCAAGGTAGGTGTCAGAAGAGACTCTGAAATGGACTGTTACCCCCAAAATCCTATCATTGTAAATGAGGGTGAGTGCAGAGTGGAGAGCCAAAGCCCATCTGTAGGCAACTGGACACCCCCTTACAGAAGAGTCACGGGGAGGAGATGAGCCAGTCAGGGTGGAGTGTAGCAACGATGAAACATACAACTTTCCCCTAGTTCTTAAATGCTTCCCGCCCCCACTATCATGATCCCAATTCTACCTTACAAATATGCTAGACCAGAGGATGTGCACTGGTCCAGATAGGAACTGGAAACACAGGGAATCCAGGACAGATGATCCCTCCCAGACCAGTGCAGAGAGTGGCGATACCAGGAGGGTGGCGGAAAGGTGGGGTAGAGAGGGGGAACCAATAACCTCGTCCCTAGGGGATGGACAACAGAAAAGTGGGTGAAGGGAGACATCAGACAGTGTAAGATATGACAAAATAATAATCATTTATAAGTTATCAAGGGTTCATGAGGGAAGGGGGAGCAGGGAGGGAGGGGGGAATTGAGGAGCTGATATCAAGGGCTCAAGTAGTAAGCAACTGTTTTGAGAATGTCGATGGCAACAAATGTACAAATGTGCTTGACACATGGATGGATGGATGGATGGATGGATGGATGGATGGATGGATGGATGGATTGTGATAAGAGTTGTGCGAGTTCCCAATATAATGATTTTAAATAAAAGAAAGAAATGGACTGTTTCCAAGAGCAGCTAGAAGTGACAAAGCATTACAGTGAAAGACCTGAAGTTAGAAAACTAAAAAGAAAGAACACACATAATTTCTCAGGCTGAGAGCACTTAAGAAAACCTCCACATTTCTAATGGCAACACTGAAGGACTGTATGGGCAAATACGGAACCATGCAGGAAACATCTAAAGAAGATGTAAGGGATACCCAGAGTCGCTGTGTGAAAAAAAAAGGGTCGACATTCAGCGATTTCAAGAGGCGGCCTACAATGACGACTTGACGGAGTTGAAGGACGACACCCGAGTTGCACTGCAGGCATTGGCAGAAAGCAAGGCTCCAGGAAGTGACAGCATCCCAACTGGTTATTTCAACAAAGTGATGCAGCACGTGCGGCACTTACTCAATTGTGTCATGAAATCTAGCAGTTAGCTCTCTAGGCAACTCCAAGAGACCCAATTTATACC